GCTGAAGCCGGTGCTGAGCAGCTTCCCGTCCGCGGTGAAGACGGCCCGCAGCGGGCGGGCGCCCTCGTGAGGCCGGGCTCGCTCCTGCTCGCGGGGTTAGTGGGTTAGAGCGCCCGCCGCCCTCCCCGGCCGCGCTCGTCGCGCGTTCTCCACGCAGACATGCACGCGCACCCCAGGTTAGGTGGAGGTTGGTGGGGCGAGGGCCTCCGGCCTCCCAGCAAGGACAAGAAACAGGTGAAGACGGCCCGCAGCGGGCGGGCGCCCTCGTGAGGCCGGGCTCGCTCCTGCTCGCGGGGTTAGTGGGTTAGAGCGCCCGCCGCCCTCCCCGGCCGCGCTCGTCGCGCGTTCTCCACGCAGACATGCACGCGCACCCCAGGTTAGGTGGAGGTTGGTGGGGCGAGGGCCTCCGGCCTCCCAGCAAGGACAAGAAACAAGCCAGGGGTGCCCCCATCTCCCGCCCAGGCAGTTGACTCCGGCAAGAAGGGGCCTGTCCTCGAGCCGGTGTCAGGCCCCAGACTCGAAGCTGGCTCTGGGTGCCGGTCCGAGAGATTAGGTTTCATGCAGGTACTGGTGGGAGGATGGAGTTTCCAGCTTCTCTCCTGCTCAATCCCAAAGCGAGGATTCCTCCTCTGAGCTTTGAGTTGCAGGGGAGGAGAGGAAGCAGGAGCGGAGCAGGGAACTGCAGGCTGGGCTTGCCTACTGCAGGGAGCTGTGGCTTTGGGCTGGGGGCGGTGACCTCTCTCTGGGGTAGGGACGGGGCAAGTGAAAGCTGGGGTCAGGGACTCCTGACTGCAGGTGCTGATAGCTGGCCAGTGGGCGGGACATCTGCTGGGGAGCGGTGAGGCTGAGCACTCACCGCCACTACTTGGCCTTTCCGGGGGTCAACGATGCGCAGGGTCTTGTCCTTGCAGGTGGTGGCTAGCAGGCTGCCGTTGCTGTTCCAGCACACGCTGTGGATGACGTCGGGATGCATGTCGTCCAGGCTCAGTAGCACCTCCCCGGTGCCCACGTTCCAAATGATGATGACATTGTCTCCACCTACCCAGAGTGGCCAGGCACAGTCACTCAGGTCCTGCCTTTGCCACCGCCCCCTCCCACCTACAGCAGGGACCCTTCCCTAGGCCCCAGACCTGCACTGAGCAGGACGTTCCTGGCAGTTGGGTGCCAGGAGAGTATGCCCACACGCTTGGAGTGGCCCTCGAGTGTGATGATCGGTTCTGTGATGTTGCGCACAGGGGTATAGTCTGGGATCTGCCACACCTGGTATGAGGAAAAGGCGTGGGATGGGTGGGATGAGGAGTGGTCCCTTTCTCCCCTTCCCTCCCCTCAACCTTACTGGCTCTTTTGAGTGGTGAGGGTCAAATACAGGTGGGACCTGCCTAGGGCAGAAGCAGCTGGGAACCAGGAGGGGGCACTGCCAACTCTGCAGAGACCTCCCCACTCACCCCAGCAGGGAGACTTCAGAGCATTCAGGCCCCAAGTTGGCCAAGGCTATAATTAGTCCTAAGCAGTGCATCCTGGGAGGGAGTGGGCAAGTAGCTAAAAATAGCCCAGGAGCTGGGCAGGGCAAAGCCCTGGGACCCAGTAATGCCTCACCACCTTCCCCCACACAGGTGAGGCTGCTCCCTCTCCCCTGCCCGAAGGCCTAGAAGCATCCATCTGCTCCTACCATAACGGTGGTGTCGTCTGAGGCACTGGCGATGACATTGTCGTTGTGTGGGCACCAGTCGATGTCCAGCACAGGGGCTGTGTGCCCAGTGACCAGTGGGTAGTTCTTATCCACTCGTCCTGTCTGGAGGGATCAGAGAGGAAGCTGTAGACCACTCTGCTGTGTGTTTTCTTGGGGCGGGCAACAGATCTGTTTATATCTCCACCCTGTTTTCTCATCGCAGACCTCCTCTCTGCACTTTTAACCCCGTCCAGTCCATTTCCTGCACTTTGCTGAAGGCAAAGTTGAAATAATTTAATTTTTTAAAATAAATTTTTGTGGGGCTGGCAGGTGGCATGGTGGTTAAGGGTGCAGGACTCCCACATGGTCGACCGCAGTTTGAGTCCTGGACCTGGAGGCTTGCTTTCTCACTTTCTCTCTCTCATTCACTCTGTCCCTCTCTGGTTGAATTTGAATAAAGTTAAAAAACATAATTATTCTTTAAAGAGATTTTTGCTATTGGGTGTGTGCACTTGCTGGAGAGACAGAAAGAGAGAAAGTGAGAAATCCCCCCCCTCCCCCAGGGGCAACGGCCATGCTGGATCCCTTCTCCTCCATTCTCCTCTGGATTGGGGGCATGTATGCACTCACGCCCGGTGTGTTTCAAGCCACCAGGTCCAGGACTTGCACCGTGGTTGGTTATGTGCAAGTCCAGTGCCTTAACCACTACGCCACCTGCTGGCCCTGAAATAGCTTAATATTAAGGAATCTGACACAGAAGGGTAAGATGACTTAACCAAAGACACATAAGACTTGAACTCTCAGTCCGATACTCTTCTGAAGACAGCTACTTGCAGAAGGCTGCTCTTGAGCCTGTTGCCCCAGGTGGGAAGTCCCTCGTGGACGAGGCGAGGCACAGAAATACTCAGTGCAGAGCCTGAGAGCCTTTTCCTAGCCAGCCTTGGCACACATCTCCCTTGTCATTGGCTTTACCCAGGAAGCATGAGTGGCAGGCAATCTTGGTACCAAGCTAGGGAGGGGGACCCGCTTATTTTTGATTCCCATAGGCTGGTTATGGGGGCTCTGAGGCATCTGCAGGGGCTGGCATTGGCCCAGACCAGGCAAGAGAGAAGGGAGGCCATTTGGCATTCAAATGGCAGTAATACTGGGGAGGAGGCAGCTCCAGCTGAAATTTGAGCCCTGGGGATGGTGTCCCTGGATGGTGCCTGCATTGTCCAGGGTGACTCACTGGCTATTGTCGGGCCTCTTCCTGACCCTGCCACCTGTGGGGCCTCACCTATCAAGGTATAGGGATGAAAATCCAGGTCAAGGTCATGCTTTGGGGCAGCCATGCAGGAATTGGAGATGGTCCAGGGGCTAGAGGTTGCTCAGCCAAGGTGGTGGTCATTGCCTGGCTCCTGCCCTGGAGTCGGGAGGGCACTGGCCTTACGTGTCACATCCCCCTGCCCGTGGCTCTCATTCTAGCTCAGTGTAAGAACCAGAGTGGGGAGGCAGCTTGGGACTCCTTGGATAGGGCCTAGCCCTGTCAACATGCTGCTGTGGGATGTGACCTAATCAAATAGTCATCTTCGGCTGAGGAGCAAAGCATTAGGAAAGACAGGGACAGACTCTGGCAGGCCCTGGCTCCCCGGTATCCCAACCATCTCCATACCCGACTCCCTTCTTGGTCCCTGCTGGGAACAGGGTGCTGCATGGAGAGGCGGACTGGCTAGTGAGCGGGGCGTAGGCCACCATGATGCTGCTGCCCAGGGTCGGCTGTGGGAGCCTGCCCCTCACTCCTTGAGAGCTTAGAGAGCCGATTCACACTTCTGGCTGAGAGTGGAACTAGGCAAGAACACAGGCTGCTGTCAGGAGGGGCCCAGCCAGTGTCCTCAGAACGGTAAGATGACTTAACCAAGGGCACACAGCAAGAAACTGCTAGCGCCAAGTCATAAACTTGCTTCTTTCCCTTCATCCCTCACCTTGGCTAGAGGCAAGACGATGAAGGCACCCCCGCCTCCAGCCTCCACGATAATGGCCAGGAATTTAGGGTTGACAGCACAGAAGGAGCTGTCCCAGGTGACTTTGGACACACGGATATCCTCATAGGCCTGGTCTGCCTTCGCGGCCTGCCCAAATACATGGCGGAACTTGCTCTGCCGAACCACACGCCGGCTCATGGCTGAGGGTACAAATGGAGGATCTCGATGTGCAGAAACACCTTTGGTCCTTCGTCCTGTGGGCTGTGGGAGGAAGGGGCAGCAAAGTGGGCGTAGGTGAGGAGTTCTGGCCAGGAGTCAGGTACAGTCCACACGAGTGTGGTCCTAGAAGCAGGGCGCTTTCCCCAAGATGATTCCAGTGTGGGGAAGCTCTTCACCACCTGTGAATGCTGCTTCATGTGAAAGACCAAGGCCTGGGGCTTGCCTTCTCCTTAGACGCCCAGGCTGGGGTGGCAGTGAAGCCTAACGAGCTGAAAGCCAGACCATTTGGGGAGGAGCCTCAACACCAGGCTGGCCTGGGCCTTGCGTGAGCATCTCTTCCCAGAAGTGGCTGTAGCTCCCAGAGGCTTGCTGTCCAGAATCAGAGGCCTTGGCCATTGTGCGTTGTCTCAAGGCCAGTTATGGGGCTAGGACTGCAGTCACCCCTCCCCCCAGCGATCTGGAACTCCCATCTCTGGTACAGGGTAGGCAGATGGCCATTTTGCCTTTTTCTAAAAATTTGCCAGCAAAGTTCCTCCTGCTGGCTAATCCCAGTCCTACTAGCTACTGTTTTGGTGGGAGCGAGGGCACAGTGCAAGGTGGATCTCCTCCTCCCACTCCTGTCCGCACTGGCTTCTCCAGGAGGCCCTGGCTTTTGCCTACCATACTTTGGTCCAGCTTGTCCTCTGTGTCTTCTGCCCTAGCTGAACCTTCCTCCTAATAAACTCTCCTGGGGGCAGGGTCTTCCTTTGACCCTGGCCCCAGCCAGATTTGCCGGAGCGGTGAGGGAGAGGTGTCCTTTTTCCAGCCAGGGCCTGACCTACGCTATTCTCTTCCCCAGGGGACATATTGAGCTCTCCCAGAGGAGCAATGACTCCTGCTTTTCCCCAGCCCAGCGCATCCCTGTGCCCTTCAAGCCACTTCTGTAGCCCCAGGCCTGAGGCCCGGCCTCCCCGCCCCCTCCTCCGGCCTCCTGCCCCAGCACTGCGTTCTTTCTAGACGAGGTGTCTGCACCCTGCCGGCACGCGCGGGCCGCTGTCCAACCAAATATAGACACCGAGCTCCCCCCCCCCCCGCCCCTGGCGAATTTGGCGGCGAGGGGGGAGGGTGCGCAAACTTCTGCCCCCTCCGGAGACCCGGCCCGCTCGACCGGCTGCGGCGGCGGCAGGGGGATCGGGGGAGGGGGGCGTACCTGGTCCTGAGCCGGTCGGGAGGACGCTCACTCTGACTCCTCTGAGGAGGGGGCCTCGGGTGCGCTGGGGGCCGAGAAAGGTGTCAGGGCGCCGGAACTGCCTCTCCGGGTGTCCGCG